GATCCATTACCCCAATCAAGCTTCGAAGATTATAAATATTGTAAACCAAAAACACGTGACCGTAGACAGAATAAGTCAAGAAACACTTTGAATCTAACAACTCTAGCAATAATGATGCTAATAATATTAATATGTCCAGTATTTGGGTTAATATCACCTGGTTTGATTGCGTACGATTGCACAAACCCAGAGGTGAATATAACTACATATTCCTTGTTAGATGTAGCTTCATGCTCACCACCAACCAATAATTTAACGACATCAGAAATTCCAATACAAGTATTACAAAAGAATTCAAGAGGAACAACTGAAGCATTTCAGTGCAAAGTTATATTAAAACGAAGCATAAGACACTGTGGTATGCACTCGCATACGTCCGACTATCAAAATAGTTATTCTCATTCAGTTAAAGAATTTACAGCCGAAGAGTGCAGATTGACTCATATGTTGAACACTCTACATATAACGAACGAACATAGGATTAGCGAACTGAAACGCAACACTACAACATTTGGAGAAATACTTGTCGTTGGTTACGTAAGAGGAAGTACTTGCCAAGGTGGAACTTACAGTACGCCGCAATATACTTGGGTTGACGCATTGGTCTATTTCGAATATGAGATAGCGTTGTACGACTATACAAGTTCAATTGATTTTGAAAATGATCAAATAACCTTACGGAACGGAATAACTTGCATATATTCTCAAGGAAAATGTTTAGATGCAGAACAAGGTTATACAACATGGGACATAAGTTATGAAAAACTTTGCGAACAAAATGACTTTGAAATTATTTACGAAGGAGTCGTGAATAAAACTGTTGATGTCGGAAGAAAAATTAAATCTCAAGCTGTTTACAGTGCTATATCTGATACCCATTTATTTTCTATTAGAACTAAAGGGATTACAAAAATTTGTGGATACAATGGCTATAGTACTGATCACCCTAGAATCTTAATAATCGAAGAGACAGAATTTAAATCACCTTTCAAACATCGCCCGAGCGGAAAAAACTATGATTTATTTACATATTTTAATTCTAAAATCACGCTTGTGGAAAGTTACATTGGGCAAAAGCTTGATGAAATATATAATACTATAATGACGGAGATGTGCAAAGTAGACAGAACGATTATGGAGACTAAGCTAATATTAGCGAGGCTCAATCCCACCGAGTTTGTATCAGGAATAATCAAACGAACTGGTTACACGGCTGTTGTAGCAGGAGAAGTATTACACATTCTTGAGTGTAAGCCTGTTTACGTAACACCTCGAAAATCCGATCGATGTTTTCAGGAAATACCCATAACATATAACAATACACCAATGTTCTTGGCACCAGTTACTCGTATACTGCAAATTAGAGGAACTGAAATAGAATGTACGCCAATTCTACCTGCAAAATATATGTTTGGGGGACGGTGGTTTACTACAGATGGACGATTAAGAGAAACGATTCCTCCGAATAAATTAGCTACTGATATTATAACAACATGGACATACACTCCCTTACCTAGTTTGATGCAAAGCGGAGTTTATGATGCCGACAGTATCGAAAAAATGCGTAGTATGATCTACGATCAAGGTGACAAAAGAGTTGCTTCTAATATTTTGCATAAAATACTTTCGGGTCAACAACCGAATGTCCAAGGGTTCCATTTTGATGCCCTAATTTCTGAAAAGATTATCGAAAATACCTTGGAAAAATATTGGAAAGGATTTGTATCATGGACAACTAAGCTGGGAAATATTACTTCAACATTTATTGGAATTTATATGTTAGGAAGAATACTGAAATTCATCGTCGATACAATTATGCATGGGCGCATTTTGTATGATATATACGGATTAGGCTGGCAGTTGCTAGCATCGTTTTGGGATTCTCTAACTACCTTCCTTTCACATAGAAATGCAATGCAAGAACACAGAAATAGAACAGAAATTTTAGAAAATCGACATAATATCCAAGGTAACAAAGAAGAGGAGGAAAAAGAGCAAAATAATGAAAGACAACCAGTGCCTTTATATCCTCATTTGAGTAGAGAAGAAAGAGTTTGATTATGAAATAAATAACCTAACTGTTGTAAATCTACGTGGTGGATTTACGGGGGTTGGAATGTCGCTGACAGACCACATGTAGATCGTCCAGTCTGGAAAATCCTGTGTTTATTATGTCTAGACTTTTGGAATGACGTGGCAGACAGGGAAATAAAATCAGGCAACAGAAACATGTGAAATAAATCGGCCTTTGTTATTTTTCAAAATACACCATGAGCGGGTAGCTCGAATAGAGAATAAGCATAGACGAGATAATAAAACCCAGCCGTTGTTCCCGATGAGGACGCCGTAAAATAATAGTAGGTAGAACATTTGTATTGTTTAGCTTTAAGAAAATCTATATAAACCTATATTTTTTAAGAAATAAATAAGTACACTAGAAAAGTTCACGGTGAGAGGTTGATTAAGGAACTAAAAGAACTCCTTTATTTTGTTTAAATCAGTTTGGTGTCGACTGACACACCTCCCGTTCAGTGCGTGTTTCATTTCTGAAAAAGTTGTGTTCCACCAATCTTCCGGAGCATGGTGATTTTGAGCAACATTTGCTCGAGATTGACGAGTTGTTCGATCGATTGGATGTTGCTGGAACGGCACTTGATTCAGACACGAAAATCTGTTTGCTTCTTCGAAGCCTTCCTCCATCTTTCGATGGACTAGTGACTGCTCTTGACAGCCGGTCTGGTGATGACATCACGTTAGATGTAGTGAAATCGAAATTGGTGGACGATTACCACCGACGGCTAGAGCGAGAAAACGGTGCGCTAAGAGTGGAAAAAACTTTGCGGTCTGCTGAAAGTTACCCGGGAAAGGAGACTCGGATTTGCCACTTCTATAAAAAGGTTGGCCACCTCCGTCAGAACTGCCGGAAGCTACAAGCTTCGAAGAAAGAAGACAACCTTCCAAAGAAAGGTGACAATGCGCAAGCAAAAGTGGTCCAGAGCGAGGGGAGCGACACATCTAAATCTCAATTCTAGATGCTCAACCAATCGCACACTATCGAATCAATCTTCGCAAAATCTTCTTTCATTTCTCGCATCTACTTGCATCGCGCATCATATTTTTGCAGGAAATCTTCAGAATCGTCATCCTATTTTTTTTTCTATCTAACCAGCGTGCGCGCAGCTATCCACACCAAAACAAAAAATTTCCTGCATCGTATATAGAGTCGCCCCCCTCGGTCCAGAGTGACAATAAAGGAATTGCCTTTACCGCGGGTGCCGAGAAGAGTTGTTCGTGGATTATCGACAGTGGTGCCAGTGCACATATGACAAACGATAAATCGTTTTTCGGTTCGTTGAAAGAATGTGTCGGAGGGTGGACTACTCTTGCTGACGGGAAGAAAACTTTTTTGGCGAAGGCAGTGTTGTTTTGAACGGAGTTGACGGCAACGAAAAGCCGATCAGAATTGATATTAGTGAGGTGAAATATGTTCCGGGATTGTCGACCAGTTTGATTTCGGTAGAAAAGCTGACGCAGAAGAATTTGGAAGTGAGTTTTGACAATAAAGGCTGCCGAATTGTTGACACTTAGGGAAATGTCGTAGCGACAGGCGTTCGTTACGGTGGTTTGTATCATCTTCGTCTGGCTGAATGCTCGATGCAGGCAACGGCAGGTCAACACAAGCCGAATTGCCAGCATCTGTGGCACCGGCGTCTAGGACACCGCGATTGGGCGGCTGCAGAGCGCCTCGTCAAGGAGAATCTTGCCACTGGAATAAAGGTGAGTGATTGTGGTCTGAGATTGATTTGCGAATGTTGTTTGGAAGGGAAGGCAGCCAGAGCACCTTTTCCTGCAGTCATCGAGAGGAAGTCATCCCAGGTTTTGGACATCATTCACACGGACTTATGCGGGCCGATGAAGACGACTACACCGAGCCGAAATCGGTACATAATGAACCTCATCGATGATTATAGTCGTTTCACTATAACGATCTTAATGAAGCACAAGTGGGAAGCGTCGCAGAATATCATCGATTACGTTCGTTGGACGGAGAACATTTTCGGACGCAAGCCGCGTGTGATTCGCTCGGATGGTGGGGGCGAGTTCGACAACAAGGATCTGAGGAAGTTCTACAAAGGTGAGGAGATCCAGTCTCAGATTACCACCCCATATTCTCCACAATGGAACGGTGTAGCGGAACGCAAGAATCGTTCACTCAACGAGATGGCAACCTGCATGCTTGCATACCTGCAGAATCGTTTGCCATCTAGGTCGGTGATGAAAACCCCTTATGAGCTATGGTGGGGAAGAAAACCGAATATAGGGTATCTGAAGGTGTTCGGCAGCGAAGCCTACGTCCACATCCCTGAAGCTAGGAGGAGCAAGCTAGACGCGAAAGCGAAGAAGCTGAACTTCGTAGGCTATTCGATGGAACACAAAGGCTATCGGTTTGTAGATCGTGAGACGGATTCTATAGCTACCCAGACAACCAATGTACATACAGTATCGTAAATTGCTACAGTTTAAGTCAAAATCGCATATTAGAATGACATACCTCGCATTATGTTTAAGTTCAATCGTATCTATTCCGTCGGGATATATTTCCGTCGTACTGTATCGCAAATTTAATCGGATTACATCGTAAGACTTTTCAAAATGGATTTGTTATTACAGATCAAATCGCATATGATGTTAAATCAACTCGTTTAAAATTAAACGAAAATATGCACGTATATGGCCTCCACTTTTGTACGTATAAGCCATTTCTTTGCATTCTATACGACTTGTTTGTTTTTATATATGTTTGTATATCACGAAAACAACTTTGAATATACGTGCATTCTGGTTGCCTGGGTATAAGTCGAGACACACGTTTCATCGAACATGGAAATGGAACGTCATCTGTGGAGTTTCCACTTTCGTTTCCGGATGATATCAGAGAAGCTGAGGACGAGATCAAGCTGTTTCCGTTTAAGAAGGAGCCTGATGAGAATGAAGAAGAAGATGGTTCGTCAAACGAAGAAGATTACAATACAGCCAGCCAGGATGAAGAAACTTCTGGTGGAACTCGACGGTCGAAGAGGAAGAATCTTGGAGCAGTTCCGAAGCATTTCGAGGATTTTGTCGTCGGTGTAGCATCATGTGCTATCGAAGAACCAGAAGATTACCAAGCAGCTATCGAACATCCGGAGTGGCATAACGCTATGGAAGAAGAGATGAGTTCCCATCGAAGAAATGGTACTTGGGAATTAGTACCGGTACCGCGGGGGCGCAAAATAGTTGGATCCAAATGTGTCTTCAAGCTCAAACGGAACGAAGCCGATGAGGTGGTTAAGTTCAAAGCTAGAGTTGTAGCTCAGGGTTGCACTCAACAGGCCGGGATCGATTTCTATCAGGTATTCGCACCGGTTACTCGTCAAGCTACGCTGCGGACATTTCTGACAGTAGCCGTTAATCGAAAGTTATTGGTTCAACACCTTGACGTGAAGACGGCATACCTGGATGAAGAGATATATATGCGCCAACCACCGGGATTTGCCGCACCAAAACAACCGGTGCATTTATGGTCTACGACAATCTGCGCGATGCTGGAATAGGAAACTGAACGAAGTACTGTCCAAATTGGGGTTCTAGGCATCGTCGGCAGATCGGTGCCTCTACGTGAAGGAGAGCGGTGAAGGAATAGTGTTCCTGTTAGTTTACGTTGTCGACATGCTGCTTGCGTCGACAGATGCGTATTGCGCTACTTGAAAGCGACGAGGGATAGCTACTTACGACTGGGCGGAGATGCTAGCCAGCCGTTAGTCGAGTATTCGGACGCTGATTGGGCCGGAGATCCCGAGAGCAGGCGATTGTCTTCCGGTGCTGTATTCTATTTCGGTGGTAGCACAATTTCCTGGGCTAGTCGTCGTCAGTCGTGTGTGACACTCTCGTCTATGGAGGCGGAGTATGTTGCGCTATCAGAATCTTGCCAAGAGACCATCTGGTTACGGCAGCTTCTGCGTGATTTCGGCGAGATTCAGAAGGAACCAACCGTCATCAAAGAAGACAACCAAGGATGTCTGGCATTTGTGAAATCAGAAAAATCTAGCCGCCGGTCGAAACATATCGACACCAAGGAGAAGTTCATTCAAGAATTGTGCGAAAATAAGGAGATCAAGCTGGAGTACTGCCCTACGGATATTATGGTGTCGGACATCATGACCAGGCCTTTGGGTCCTCAGAAGCATGCGCAGTGAATGTTGTGTAAGGCGGATACCCGTTGAGGAGGAGTGTGGAAGGTTGCAACGGCTACCATTATACACACCCCTTGCAGCAGCGCATACCTTCGTGCACTACAGACCTTGTACTGACCACAGCACAAGAGAGAGTGTAAAGTGTAAACAATTTTTCAGTTCAAACCAAGCGCTTCTTGTGACAAGTTCGTTTTTTTTTAATTTTTGACCGCAATAAAACGTTTCCGAATTTTAAACCGTAGTTCTCGCGTGTGCATTATTTTTGCTGTCCACTCCGAATCCCATACGCTGTTTTTCCACTTCGGTGACCCTGACCTTGCCGTCATAATCAACCGGTGGAAACTAACGATTTATAATTAATTATTTTGTTCGACCATTTTCTACAGAGATGGTGCTGTTCCACTGGTAGGAAGTGCTAAAAATCCACATATAGAAATTGAGAGAAGTGGGAATAATTCGCTTTCGGTGCATATTCAGGTCAAAAAAAGTGAACGACAACCTAAATAAATTAATCAGGAACTTTGTCGTTCAGTTTTTTCCCGGAAATTATTGTGCTACAATTCAATAAAAATGATTTTTCCCCACACAGTTTTACCTGCTTTACTACCAGTCCCCAGAATGAAAATGATAATTCTATATTTACTTATACCATCGAACTATTTCTTAAAGTTTACCAACTAGCTGCTGATAGCTTTTGCCATCCGGGCTATTACGTAGCTGCTCCATTTTAACTACTTCACTTCTAAAAACTTTTTTTAAACTGACTCCCTAAAAATCGCTTGTTCACAACTTTAAAGTGCGCCATTTCAAACATAGAAATCCCAGAACCCGCATAAACGCGAACCATAAATTGACCTTACCTAAAATGGTTAAAAATTGTTTATAATCCCTGCTAAACTTTAACTGAAATGGTTATGGGACTTTACATGAACGTTTAATGATAAAGTTTCAACCTTATGTATTATGGTTTTTTGGAACTGGACCTTACAAATAATGGGTTGTTAAGAACCATTACCATTCCAAATTCTTGTTTTCTCCATATATTTTCAGAAAGAGAACTATATAAGAACGTTTTTACTTATGATTTGAGAACATTAATGGTAATGGTTATGGTAGTCAGTAAGGTCCATTAATGGTTTTGTATTATCGCTCAACTTTACGTGGAATATATCGTGAATTGGTAATCAGTAAATTACAGGCAACCAATTCGCGATATATTCCACATAAAGTTGATCGATGTTACAAAACCATTCGTGGACCTTACTGACTACCATAACCATTACCATTAAAGTTCTCAAACCATAAGTTGAAAGGTTCTAATATAGTTCTCTTTCCGAAAATGTATGGAGAAAACAAGAATTTGGAACGGTAATGGTTCTTAACAACCCATTATTTGTAAGGTCCAGTTCCAAAAAACCATAATACATAAGGTTGAAACTTTATCATTAAACGTTCATGTAAAGTTCCATAACCATTTCAGTTAAAGTTTAGCAGGGATTATAAACAATTTTTAACCATTTTAGGTAAGGTCAATTTATGGTTCGCGTTTATGCGGGAATCTGGGTAGATCCCACCGAGGATCCCACTCATCGGAGCAAAACCAGTTTACCCATTTTTTGACAACTCCATACAGCATGCAAAAATGAGTACGATATACCCAGTCACTGAGTAGCCTGAAAATAGCGTGAGTTTACACCACACGTACACGTGCGACATCGCCTGACTCGACGAACCGGTTAAGAAAGGAGCTAGCAAAACAGAAACATAAATCGATCCGACACCAACACATACACCACAAACACACAACATTAAAGAATGCGATTGAGCGCGAACTTTTTGTCATGTTGTTTCGTGTTTTCGGTTGTTGTTTGAATTTTCATTGAATTTTGGTTCTTTAAAAGTTAATTTCCGAAAAGAAAATGCCACCGAACATAGCTTCCGCGATTATAAAACTTGGCCAGCAGAAGAAGAATGACGAGTTGAAGGAAATCTTGGAGCGGATTCCGACCAAGGAGGTAATGAGATTGGTCTGATTGGATTGAGTAGGATTTAATTTTATTAACAACAATAATCAATTTGTCTGCAGTTAACGGATCTGGTAACGTCCAACATCGCTACGACCGATGGCTTCACGTTGTGGCACTTTATTCTGCTGGGGTTGGCCCACTCCAGTAAATCCAAGGAAAAACGGTTCCAAGTCACGTTGGCCGTGTTGAACCAGCTGAACAAAACGGAACTCAGCACCAAGGTGGTATTCGATATTGTATCCCGACTGGTGCTGGATTTGCCCAAGTTCAGTTCGGAACAGTTGGTTGAGATTATGGAGTACTGTGTGGAATCGATCCGGGGTGGGGATCCCAAGTGTATGGGATGGAAGGACTTGTTTCCGGAGGTTTTGAAACTGCTGAACGAGCAGGTCGGCAAGTTCAGTGCGAATGGGTTCATTATGACCGGTAGCGAGTACCGGAAGAAGGTGCTGGACGATCTGTTCAAGATGAAGATACAGAATTCAATTATGACTTCGTTTACGGGTATGTTTCGTGAGGTACAGTTAAGCAAGGACGAAACAACGCTGGCGGTGGGGAAGATTTGTGATGCCCTTCGGGGGTTCGAGCCATTGGAGATTCCGGCGTTAGCGTTCCAGTTGTTTCATGTTTGCTTGAAGTACAGCAGCTTGTTGGTGCTGCCGATCTACGCACTGCAGAAGTACTTTCACAAGCACTACTACAAGAAGATGCTATCCAACGATGGAGGAGATAGCACTGATTTTGATAGCATTGGTAAGATCTATTTGTCATGGTTGATTGGTAAAATTCAATCACGCATTTTTCAGAACCTGTCTCGGATAAGGAGATCCGCGAAGCGGAGGAAACAGTACTCTACCACCTTTCCAATGTGACCGAGTTCCGTTTGGACGAAATTCAGGTGGTGGCAATGTTCAAGCCATTCCAGAATTTGCCGGAGTTTCTGCTAACGCCGTTTGTAATCAGCGCACTAATCGCAATGAGCAAGATCAACCGCATGCCGGACACGATGAAGGTTGTGGCTTCTCAGGTGATGTCATTCGTGACCAAACTGGTTGCCGAGAACGAGAACGAGAAGGATCTCTGTCAGCATTCCGCATGGTGCCGAGGACGAATCGAGTCCACTTCCATCCCGGACGTGGAGCGAATGCTGGCAATTTTGGCCGAACACAGTCAGGAGGGTATGGAAGTGGTAACACCGGGCGTTATTCACTTAGCTTTTGCGTTGCTGATTACGAAGAAGCAGTCCAAGCTGCATATGATTGCCATAGCGTTTCTGCAGCATTTTGTCAAAAAGCGGTTCATCTTCGGCAGTGGAATAGTTGGGAAGCTGAAGCAGTATCTGTTCGCCGAGTTGGAGTCGATACAATTTTCGGAGTGTTTGATAACGTTGAGCCTGACCAGTGCCTTGACCCTGTCGGAGTGCACAAGTTCGATCAATTATATTCTGGAATACCTGCTGCTGGTAAGCACCTATTCGATACCCGTTTGGCGATGCGTTCAGAATTATAAGGGTCTAACTTTTGTTAATAACTCATCTGGATTAACATTTCTCTGTGCGTTTGATGTTGCTTTTGCTAGCTAATACAACCTTTCACTAAGAGAATCGATCGTCGCAGTTAGGCCCTTGTGATTCTGAACGCTAGAATATGTACCTACAAAGCATATTATGATTTCAGATCGATGGCATTCACGCGATGCGCATCACAACGTTCCTTTTCCCGTTGATTCGGATCTCGCACACCATTCGGGATGCCTTCATTGAGGTCCTTCGGAAAGCCATGTACCACAGTGAAGTCCACACGCGGATGATGGGTGTGTTCGGGTTTTGCGCTCTGCTGAAGCAACTCAAAAACAACAACTCCCGACGTGCGGTTCTCGGAGGGTCTGCCGGTAATCTGACCCAGCTGTCGATTTCGGGAATGTCGCTGCTGTCTCAGTCTACGCTTGGCCGTGCGGACAATCCGGATGTGCATTTTGATATGTTGACGCTGGAGATTTTGGGAATCCTGAGACGGTATTTGATTGACTTCAATACTTATCGAGACAATGGTCATAAAATGGTCGTTCCATTTTCAGATGCTTTACACAAACGGTCGAGATTCGGGAGCTGCTGTACGAGAGCCTCGGGCGAGCAGTGGAATTCAACAGCAAGCTGCTTCCCCACGTGCTGCAGTTTATCGATTGGCACTTCAGTAGCTATTTCAGCGAATCACTGGAAGGCACACTGAAAGTCGACTTTGAAAAATGCGTCCGTTACAAGAACGATGCTGGCGAGGATATGACCGGAGACCATCAACAGCAGTTGGAAATTTACGATAACGTTGGAAAGTTGACGGCCTTTATGGTTCACTGCGTGGTTATTTGCGATCAACAAGTCATTACCCATGACAACGATGGAGCTAGGAAGTTGTTGCAGGACATAGTTCAGCAGATTGAGAAAGTTTCGCTGGATAGTCTTGGGATAGTGAGGTTTCTGGACTGGATTCGAAAAGAGGGATCACTAATTTTAAATTTCTTCGGCGACAGATTGGGACTTTGGATCCAAAAACATGCGTCATGGGTTGTCACTATATGAACACAATCGAAGCTGCTATGGCGTACTGCATATGGTGTACGAAGCCGGACAATACCTATCTACGAGATTTGCTGAAACTTTTCAAGCATCACCAAACTTGTTTCGACAAAATGAAGGTTTGTCCCAACCATCGCTATTTTTTGTTTAGTTTGCTTGAGTTTTTTTTTTCGCAGAAAATGGAGCCCAAGAAGGGAGCGAGGAAGGGCAATAACGAAACGATAGCATCTACCGCAGCCGCAGGAGGATCCACTAAAGGTGTGCCATTCAAGCCGGAGAATCTTTGGGACATCGCCACGATCGAACGGTTGCTGAAAATTGTGTTAGAGTAAGTATTTTCATTCATCTAAATATCCTGAGCCAATGTGAAAAATTTCCAGCGATTACTTGCATTGGCCTTGACCTGGACCCAAGCCAAATTTGTCCATTTCATCACTACCTAAAGCCCCACGTCTATGGTGTGTTATAATGCAATTCTTCTTTACCCTATTGTGTTGCTCCCCTCGTCATGACCAACGTAGTCATCTCAGAGAGAAAGCAATACGGTGGTTGTTGCGTGCTGTGCCATTATTCCACAGCCGCAAACATACACCTCACCTTCTGGAGTGTGGCCTTGAAACATGAGACTTGGCCCTCTTAAGACCCCCTTCTGTCTCGCAAAGTTAAAAAAAAATCTCTTTCTTGCAGCGACTCAACCTCGTACGCAGCGGAACAGGACCTGGAAAGTGTACGATCGAATCGTGATTTTACGCAATTTGTCCTCAAGATATCCGCCGAGAAGCTGGAAGCCCTTCGCAGCTCGCCAGAGTATTGGCAAATCAAGCACAGCAAACGCATCTTCAACCACCTATGTGAGTGCGGGAAGATCATCTTCGAACGTGCTGTGAAGAAAACCAACGAACTGTGCGGCAACGGCAACACTCAAGTCGCATTGAACGCCGGAGAAGCCTTCCGACAGGCACTGTTGACGACGCTCGCTGTCTACGAGAGAAAGTTTACCGAGTTCCTGCGAATGATCAGCTGCACTTTGGGAACAACGTTCCGGTCGGATCTACTCAAAGCCTTGCACGAGATCGCCGACAAGTACTTTGAGGACGGAGCGGAATCTGAACCGGCAGGGGAGAAAACCGTTTGCAATCTATTCCTGTGCCTCGAGATTCTGTATCAGTCTAATGCGCTCGAGGATGATCACCTGAATATGGCCTACACGTGGTTGCAGAATTTCTGTACGAACCACAAAATAAAACTGAAACCGCTGGGTCTGGTTCATAGGATACTTTTCGAGCTGAGAATGCGAACTCAGACGGGAGCCTATTTCGATACGGTTGCGATGCTGATTGAACGCAAGTTCGGTCAAATCGAGGAGGATGAACTAGCACCGAATTTTACGTTGAAATCGATCAGCTCGATGACGGTGGAGTCGGCACTGATTGCTCTGTGCAATGTTTCGAAGCAGCAGTTGGATGATGTGGATCACTTCGTCCTGAGAACCAACAGCGTCCTGGGAAGGTTGAAAATTTACGGCCATGGAGAGAATGATGAATGTCAGTGTGTTGTATATGCGGTTTTCGGAATTTCAATAAAGTATACTTTCAGATCTTCACCAGCTGAAATCCATCGAGCGATCGATGTGTTCCCAGCTGGTTCACATCATGTCGGTGGTCACACACCTGGCCAATACTCAGCTACCTCTAGGGACATGCATGGATTCGTTGCTAAAATTGCTTATCAACGTGTACGGATGCCTGACTAACTTAACCAAACACTTCCTGAATCGCCACCCTGTGGCCGCAGTTTCCCACGATTCAACCAAGTCAGTCTAAAAAAGTCCAAACATCCTTGTTGAGTTCAATTAAAGATCATTGTTTGCCCTTTTCCAGATTCAATTTGGTGATCAAATCATCCAAGCCGTTGGCGGTTCGGATCTACAACCTGTTCCCATTCATCGAAGAGAATATCCTCGGGCAAAGGGAAGAACCGGACGATGACAGTGACGCCGAAGAGAAACAGAAAGCCAAGAATGCCCAAAATGCCAAACGAAATCGAGAGAAAGTCCTCCGACAGACGAAACTCATTCCCAAGCTGGTGTTTCGCATCGAAACGTTCAACAAGTTTGTCATGTTACTCAGCAAAAAGACGAAGAAAGATCTGACCTACCTGTTGCACATGGGTACGGTGCGTGATTTCCGCATCAAGGAACCGGCACTGGTCGAGGCAATCAAGAAGGTCTGTGACGGACGGCCAGGTGAGATGAGCTCGGAATTTGGAGACTTGGCCGATTTGGACGTCCAGGACGAGGATGACGACATGTCATGGTTAAGACCGACGGAATCATCCCTGTTGGGAGGAGCTTCACTGGGGCCTGAGGCAACTCAACTCGACGAGCAGGAATCGAATACGGAGATTTCGAATGTGGGTGACGAAAATCTTGCGCTGAAACACTTGGCTATACTGAACGAAAGAAGCAAACGCAAGTGCAAGAAGAAGCGGACAAACACGGATGGTGGCGGTGAATCGGAGACTACATCCGAGCGGGAAGAGCTTTCGAACGGTAAGAAGAGAAAGATTACGAAGAAGAAGGCCGTATCACCCAAAATCAACAAGAGGGCCCTGGAGACGATGAACCAGGCTGCGTCGGTTGCCGTAACGACGTCCAAAACGCTGGGTCCGATTCGACGTACTTCGCGGGGTCTCACGAAGAAGAGTTAATTGGATTGGGTGTTGAGAGTTATGGATTTTTTTTAAATATACAGCCATTATATGATATGAAACTTATTCTTTAAATAATCTGGAATTAATCCAATCCGTTAACGAACTTTCACATGAGGTTGAGATGGTACTTAAAAGATGGAGCGTCGTTGAAGTTGAACCCTGCATAGTGACCTCGCATAACCTCACTTTTAACCTGTACATCAACCAGTGTTCGAAAAAAAAAGTAAGAAGTTTTATCCAAGACACGACGTAGATTTGACGTAGGATTACGTGCTCAATATCAATATTCGGCGACTGTGTTAGAGAAAGCGCTTTTTGCAAGCCATCGATAATAATTTTGATCACCATTGCAGCAGTTGGACATTTGTGTAATTTTCAATAGTGACCTATTGAAAATTGATAAAGTGTTCATTTTAGCAAATTCATAGAAAAAATTCAAATCGATTGGTTTGTTTAGAATTAAAATCCTTCCGCTATTGACAGAGATATAAGTGGTCAAAGCCTGACCACTTTTCGTAACGGGTTCGATTTTGGTTTTTTGTAATTGCACCCCCAATATGTTGCCGAAAGACGTAATCCTACGTCAAAAACTCACTTGCAATATGCCTTCCCGTATAAACGCGAAGCATAACATGACCTTACCGAAAATGGTTAAAAAAAATTTATAATCCCTGCTAAACTTTAACTGAAATGGTTCTGGAACTTTACATGAACGTTTGTGTGATAAAGTTTTAACCTTATGTATTAAGTGAACCTTACAAATAATGGGTTGTTAAGAACCTCTTACCATTCAAAATAGTTGTTTTCTCTATACATTTTCGGAGAGACGACTATATTAGAACCTTTTTACTTATGGTTTGAGAACTTTAATTGTAATGGTTATGGTAGCCAGTAAGGTCTATTGATGGTTTTGTATTATGGGTTAACTTTACGTGAAATATATCGCGAATTGGTAATCAGTTATTTACAGACAACCAGTTCGCGATATAAGTTGATGGATGTTATAAAGTTGATGGATGATATAAAACCATCTATGAACCTTACCGATTACCATAACCATTACCATTAAAGTTCTCAAATCATAAATAAAATGGTTCCAATATAATTCTTTTCCCAAAAAACTGTATGGAGAAAACAAGAATTTGGAATGGTAATGGTTCTTAACAACCCATTATTTGTAAGGTTCACTTCCAAAAAATCTTAATACATAAGGTTAACACTTTATCACACAAACGTTCATGTAAAGTTCCATAACCATTTCAGTTAAAGTTTAGCAGGGATTACAAGCAATTTTAAACCATTTTTTGTAAGGTCAAGTAATGGTTTGCCTTTATGCGGGTTGCAATATTAAGCTGGGAAAAAATCACTGATGAGTTTTTCGGCTCAAAAATTCATTTTTTTTTGTATTTTAGTAGTTTTGCTTTTTTTTTTTTGTTCACACCGTTTTCAGCATACATTGGTTCATTTCGATGCTACAGTTTCATGTAGCGAGGGCGCATTCTAGGGTGACGTATCGAATAAGCGGATTGTTTACCTGCTATTCCCTTTGTACTTTGATGTGTGAACATATGTTTTCAACTATAAAATATTTTCACATCAGTTTCATTAGCTACCCGAAATATTTAATTTTTTAATGATTAGAAACTCCACATACTCCAACTATAAAAAAATCTCATTTTTCAAAGTTGTCTTAGGAAGGTTTCTTAATTATTTTCATATTATAAATATGTATTATTATGAAAAACACGTTCGGTTTTGAAATGTTGACCGGATGATTCGACGGGCAGTGCTCTGAGAACCAGTTTTTGGGATTTCAATCGTTGAGTGGCAACATCCCGAGCGAAGGCAGAACACGCCTACAGAAGCAATATTCCATATGCGAAGTGAAGCAAGATATTTTACACAGAGATTTTCTCGAGAATAAGGATACTACAACGATCTATTATTCTCAAGCGATGGTCTTTAATAAAAATTTAAAAAAAAACAATCACTCAACTATCCTGGCATACAAGTCAAGCTATGCAAACAAGCAGAATTGGAAATAGACAAACAGTTTTAATTGTAATTGTATTTATATAAAACACTAAACGCACGACACCAACGCGAAATAATAGCAACAACAAAATAAATACCCCCCCCCCCCCCCCCCCACGGCTATTGACAATCGTCCCGTAAATTTTAAACCCTACACGGATACAAATTTTGTTCATTTAAATCAAAAATATAAATTTTTATTTTAGAGTATATGAATTATTCAAAGTAAATTGAACGCATGTTCAAAACTAAAATAATGGCTTGAATTAAATTCAAAAGCATGTTTATTTCAACAATATAGAAATATCAATTGTATTTAACAGCATATGTCACCGACGTGTCTGTGTTTGGCTAACAATGATCGGTTTCTGTACGTAAAATGGAATCATTGTCCGGTGGGAGCTGGTCAAGCGGGAACGGTTGGTGGTGATAATGGTGCAGAACACCAAGCAGCAGACAGCAGTGATGGAAAAGTTCGCGAAAACTCACTATGACTCGCGAACTTTTCCCTTGGTGAACTTCGTGAAATATCGCGAACTTTTCCAACACTGGAAGACAGTAGTTCTTTCGCAGGATCTGGCAGATGAGATCAAGAGCTGGACGGAGCGACACTGGAGCTGGTGAACGTCTCGGTGAACACAGAACATTCGCTGTTACCGGGGGGTTTCCCGGAAGATTACCCATCATTCGAGTACGAAAGATGATGGATGAAGGACTGATTCCTGCATACGGATGTGATTGCATCCGGATCATGTGACGGCGATAATGCAAATAAAAGCGCACGATTGGTGTTTTAACCTAATCTTGCACTTTTATTTGTTTCATCACGCATTCGAAAATAATTTATAATCTCGTTTATAATAATAAATAGAAAATTACGCTAAACATTAAATACGTTTAAAATAAACTTGAAAATCGTGTTTAAAATAAAAATATTTTTTTTTATTACAAAGCTGTTAAAGCTAGCAAACAAAAATATTCAAGTTTATTTTCAACACGAATATGTTTAAAATAAACGTGATTTTTATTTTAAACATTGATGTCACATGATCACCGATAAACCGACATGAAACTTAAACTTTACTGTTGATCGAGAATCCATAACGGTCGATTCAAATGTGCAGTGATCTCATCTGTCAAGAACATAGAAATGTTTTATCTAGATAAAAATAATTTGTCCGAAATAGATTAGACACGAACCAACTCATAAATTTTGTACGCGTGTTTGTGACTAGGATAAATATATTCCGCGAACGGCAGATGTCAGTTTTGTGCTTCGATCAGAAATTTCTTTGTAATTTGTATGATCATTCATGTCGGTTTGTCGGTGGCATGACTTTAAACATAAAATACGTTTGAAATCAATCGAATAATAATAACCCTAATAAAAAATAACCATAAACGAACGATAACCCAAATCATTGAACTATTCCACAAATGGTTTGGATGATACCCAGAACACGTCGTTAAGCAAATTAACCATACAATTTTTATTAGGGAAATTATTCAAGAAATTATTTATGTTTGTGGCCAGAACAATCTGAGTTTACGTTTATATTTACCTCAAATATTTTTTTTCTGCGTGTATGCAACAATCGCTTGTTGTAGCACACATGCAGTGCAACATTATTTTATCGGTTCGCATCAATCCGCGAACCGATTGGCGATTTTGACATTTCACCCAGTTTGTCTCATAATATCTGTCACTCACGTTGGTGCTGCCGATTACGAGCAGAGGTTTTTCGCCTGAATGCAGTAAATCGAGTGAATTTTCCTTAATTTGTGCTTTTTTCCACATTTAGCTTCAAGATGAGTGCTTCTCCGGCCAAGCTGCAGGATATGCCACCGAAGGGTGGCTATCAAAACATCCCTTTCGCGAGGATTCCGGCGAAGAAGTATTTCAAAGGTAAGGTCTCCTTCGGCTCCGCTGTTATGTCACCGATTGTTTTGATTATTTTCGATAATCTATCTCTGGTGGGCAGGATGGCAGCTGATTGCCGCTTACGCGGGATTCACCACCTTCGGATTGTCCTTGTACTACCTGAACTGTAAAGAAAACCAACGCAACGAAATTGAGATGCGTTCGGCCAGGAACGTCATCTACTCTTTGCTACTGGCGGAACGAGACCGCGAGTATCTGAAGCAGTTGCGACAAAACCGCGCCGAGGAAGCGGATCTGATGAAGGACGTCAAGGGATGGGAAGTCGGCACCTGGTACGGCGAGCCGGTCTTCAAGACACTGCCCAAGGACAAGTTTGTTGATCCTTCCTTCCAGGAGTTCTACGTTCACGCCGACTATAGAGATATGATCAGGCGTAAGCACGTCAAGATGATGAGCTAAAGGTGCTGCCGCTGTTAAGGGCTCATGAACGCTTGTTGGAAAGCTTCCGGTTGATACGGTAGGATTAATTCGTTTTTGGTACAACCGCCCATCAGTGCGAGTTTGTGAAAAATAAATCATAGGTCTGTCGATAGATGTCTGGGAGTTTAGATTTATATCCGAACTGATTCAAGAAACACTAGGGTTACCATATTAAAAAAATGAAAAGAAGGTCATTTCACTTAAGTTCGGGATGAAAATGAAGACATTGTGCATGGATAATTAATTTGTATCAAACATTTTGACGTTGGGGTTTTTCTTGTTAGGGTGCTTTTAAATTGGGAGTTTGGAAATTAGCTTACGACCAATTAGAAAGCAGTCAGCCTTTCTAACATATATATATATGCATCAAGCTACTTAGCCTTCATAATTCATTTTACAGAACCGTTCATATCAAAGTATGCTCATCGTGAATTTTTTGCCCCTCCGAAAATTTCAAGGAATAATTTCTGAAATGTTGGCAACTGTTTGATAAAATACACAAAGTTTATCGGTATTTCCGGAGAACTTCGAGATTAGGGCGTAATTGCTTTTGTAATGCTCGCGAATTAAAGCTTAATCTAAAAAACTACCAACACAAACAGATAGATGAATGGTTCCTCTATCATTGTGTATAGTTTGTTCATTTATTCGCGAGAAATCAGCGATTGACATGTTTGTTTACAAAAGCAATTCCGCCCAAATCCAAAGTTCTCCGGATTGATTAAAGATTGAAGTTTGAGAAATTTAACGAATAACGGTTCTTATTTGACAATCATTTTTAGTTCTTTGAAGCACATTGAACCAAATCTCCTGTAGGGGACGACGGGGTAAGATGGCCACCCTAAGCTTGAAGTAAAATTCAACCAAAACTGTATAAAATTTCCGCGATAAATTTAGTGATTATTGAACTTTGGAGTACTTTCCCTAATTAAATTGATTTTCAGAAAATTTTCTTTTCATTTGATATTGTTTTATCACGAATTAAAAACAGACTAAATAATGTAAGACAAAAATGATGCAGGGTAAGACGGAAACATGGAATATATCATGATCCTGGATATATAAAAGGTAGGCAAAATTACACATAACCTACTTTTGATAATAACAGTAGTACCGAATTTTCTCACTATGCGGCGCTCATGTGCAAGTCAGTTTCCTGTATAAAATATATCTTGAGATCTTTACTATTTAAAATGATTCAGTCTTCGGGAAAGTTGTTTAGGTGATCAATGTCTTCAAATTTGTTGGTTACTTAGTTCAGAATCCTCTCACTACGTGACACTAGACTTCGCGTAGATGGCGAAGATTTCAAGATATAGCTTATAGATACCGGAAGTTCATATGTACACTAGCGCCGCGTAGTGAGAGAATTCCTAATTGCACCATCACCATTTGGAATTGCTTTCATCTTAGTTATAATGCCGATAACAGAAGCTTCTTAGAAGTCCTGAACAAAGTTTTATGAATTGACAACTTTTACCTTGACTACTACGGATGTTCCGGATTTGGTTTTTTTTTTCGATCAAAACAAAAGTCTTTTTATCGGATCAAAATTTTCTGAAATTTGTTCATGACGGAAAAAAAATTACAACAGTAGGGTAGAGAACTACTTCGGCCTAATCGCCCATTTTGGGCCTATCGAGCAGAAAACTTCAAATAACTCCATGATTTCAGAGTTAACAAGTCAATTATGCGTTTGGTACGATACTTTAGTTAATAAGCTACGGAACAAAGTCAATAAGAACGCGAGATATGAAGGTTTGCACCCATTATTCCCAAAAACAAAAGAAGCGTTCCGACCGAATCAATTTTTTATCTTCATCCGATAGGCCGAAGTGAATTCATTGGCGTTTCAATGCGTTAGGCCTAGTTTAGAATCCGTAGGCCGAGTTTGGCGTCAAGAAGCAATGTTAGACTTTTGACAATATCTCAACGATTGGTTTCTCTTTATCAAATCTTACGGTACATACGGAAAGGTAAATAAATTTGGAAGCCATCAGTAGAAATAACATTCCGTTTGGTGTTAAACTGTGCTATATTAAGAAATACTAAGTGCGGGTTGTGCTTAATAGGCCGAAAATGGGGTAGTTAACCCTATTAGTTTAATTTTTGTCACCATGCACCAGAATTTATGATCAACGAATAGTTCCCCCTATTCTGCTAGTCACGTGATTCTTTCTCACCGGTGAGAGTCACGTGACTCGTAGAATAAGGGGCAGTATCATTTCAGAATCCATGATAGCGATCTAATTGAAGATGTTAGTTTGATAACTTCAAAACCGTCTAAATATCGAATTCAGGGTGAACATCGGATATTTTTTTACCTGGAAAATCAGAGAATCTCAGGAAATTTCATTCAAATTCAGGGAAATATTTCTTAATGGATCAATGCAAATGCTGAGGTTTTGACAGAACTATGCTGCGGCTACCACAGTTTTTTTTTACATTTGATCCTCCATTTACAGTAGCGCCAAAGGCATGCTGTGGTGGGTTCAAAACTTGACCATCTAAATTGATCAATTGCAGTATTGCAACAACTGGAAGATCCGTATCAACGCGTCGAAGACCCAGGTTATCATATTTCTACGTTCCCAATCACCAAGACTTTTTCCGTCTGAAAATAATAAGATATTTTTAAGCGGCTCAGTGGTGGAATGGTTCAAAAAGGTTGGGTACCTCGGACTAACACTATAAAGCAAGCTTCTTTTCAGGGAGCACATTGACAAAACTAAAACCAAATGCAACATCTTGGTAAGATCATTATATCCGCTTATCAACAGGAAATCCACCTTGTCCCTGAAAAATAAGCTTGCTGTCTATTAACAAATAATCCTACCTGTAATCGAATACGGTATGCCTATATGGGAGAGTTGCTCTGCATCATCTTAAACTTCAAAGAATCCAGCACGAGATCCTTATGATGATCCTAAACATTCCACCGCTGACTCGAAATTCCGAGGTCCACCGCCTGGTTGGAATTCAGACACTAGAAGAACGGAGAATGTTCGTCCCTTTCAGCGACACCTGTCTGAAGTCAAGTTAGCACGTTAGCGAAGACAACATATCAAGAAGACTGGTAAATCTCTCGTTTTCCCATTCGCCCGTTATAAGACAGCCACAATCGCATCATCTGCCACTCAAAGGTCAATGCTACGAGCGAATTTGATAGCAAAGATTACAATCTCAGAAGAGAGGTTTGTGTATTTGCCCATTTTCCTATGCGATGCTTCCACCTTCGCTCAAGCGCTGCGCTAACTGTATGTACATGTCGCTTGAAATCTGGCTAAAGTTACCAGTCTTCTCGATATTTTTTTTTTTTTTTTTTCTTTATTTTAGAGATTTTTAGCCTGAGGCTAGTTCATCTCTTCTCTTCTCGATATGATGTCTTCGACGTTAGGCTAAGTTATTTGTAGATAGGTGGTTGTCTAATTTTTAAATTCAAACTACAAAAGGGGTATTCTCAAGGGGTTGTTCACTCCGCACAGTGTGCCAAAAATACAGATGGGCACTTTCATTTGCACCCATGGTTAGAAATTTTCATGATATTTGAAGCTACTGGCAACACTGCACTATATCGAGCAGGCAGCAGGTGTCAAAATGTTAATCATTGTTGTTGACAATTACTTAGTTGCCTAGAGGGGAGAGCGAGACCCTTGGCCGGCGCCGGTGGTGTAGTGGTAAGCGTGACTGCTTTTTCACCCCAATGGGTCTGGGTTCAATCCCAGCCGAGGTCGGTGGGATTTTTCTGAGGCATAAAAATCTCTGGTCACGTCTTCCTTCGGAAGGGAAGTAAAGCCGTTGGTCCCGGCCCATGTGAGTGATGAATGGGTGCGATATTCTACGCAGGTGTGGAAGCTGCCTTCCTGCACATTCGATGCCGTCAATGGTTGGCAATCGATGTCCGTCGGTGATTGGCACTAGATTGCGGAACAGAGACCGACGTTAAATAAAGGAAAAAAGAAGAAGAAGAGAGCGAGACCCTGAAGGAGGAAGTGAAGGGAACGTTGAAGACGTTGGTACATCGATTTGGGGCGGGGAGATTCGTGACGGAGCTGAAATCACAACCGAAGGAGATTAAGTGGAATTGTAAGATACTGGTTGGTCAGTTGTTGGGCTTGAAGGTGAGAACCTGAAAGTGGACATCCATGAGTTGGTCGAAGGATACGTTTAGCTCTCGGACACGACCCTGGTAACCTAGCGCTTGAAATAGAATATTTCTAGATAGAGCTGTAATCAGCGCGTAACAGCTTTTTTAAACAATGAATTCTCTCGATGATTCCTTGGAATTCAAGGAACACCCGCGCAAACCAACATAATCGTCGGGTAGGATTAGTCTTCCCCTACCCGATAGTAATGTTGATTTGCGTTGCCAAGCTCTGGCTTTCTACCTAGATATATAGGCTTGGCGCAGAAGAAGTCCCGACGAAGTGTAAAGTGACTGGTGTTTTCCTTGGTGCCTAGCGATTGGAGCAGTTCGATAAGCATTTCAACATCGCGATGTTTGCAATAATATTCGTAGAACTGATCCGAACGCAGCTTTTCGAACTCTATGAGGAACGAATTGATTATGGAATCTGTGGTGGATCTTGCCGAGTTTGGTGGCCAACGACTATACCGGCGAACGGAACAGAAGACAAATCGGTGGTCTGGGTGTAATAGACACTTTTCGGGCAGTCGATGAAAAAATGCGTGTGGTTTGCTTGATGTACTTTTCAATTCTGATTTTCATTTATTCTCTCTCCGTATATGTCGTGTTAGGTAAGTATTCGTGTGCGTGTTTCGTATTTCATTTCAGCGTTCGTGTACCAAGGTAAGGCAAATACAAAGGTAAGGTAAGTATAACAGTTTTGTTGTAATAGAGTACAGTGGGCTCAACGGATTTACAAGCTAATTCAAATGTTCAACTGTGTTTAATTTCAAATGCAAAGAATTCTAATTACATGATCAAGTGAGTATCAAGATCCGCAACATCTCGGCCCCCGTTGAAGCGCAGCATTCAACCGACAGAAGATGAGGAAGGTATATCGGTCAGCTGGGTTGAATCAGTCGACCCTGCTGCTGTGTTACCTGGGATGTCATCAATCGGTAGCAGACACAGCTCTGTTGTTGCACGACGACGAATTCCGGCTTGAGTGCGGACATCCACTACCCGTATTATGTTGTCCTTGTTTGGGTAGACTGCTACAACGCGTCCGAGAGGCCAATGTTTGGGTGGAGCGTTGTCGGTCTTCAACACAACCATAGCACCGACCCCGAAGTCGGTAGGGATCTTCCTCCACTTAGCTGGACGCTGATGCAGCAGGCCGATGTACTCTTTAGACCAGCGCTTCCACAAGTCGTTCATGGCTCGCTGTGTCGTCTGGAAGTGGGAAAGTCGATTAAGGGGAATGCTTGAGTAGTCTGGCTCGGGAAGCCAGACGGCTGGTTCACCCAGCAGGAAATGTGCAGGAGTGAGCACGGAGAGGTCTTCAGGATGATTGGAAAGGGGAGTCAAGGGACGGGAATTCATGATGCTTTCCGCCTGAGCGACAGCCGTGCGAAAATCGTCAAAGTGGTAAGGTGATGAGCCGATGATCCTGACGAGATGGTGCTTGAAGCTCTTCACCGCAGCTTCCCACAGCCCACCACAATGCGGTGCTCTAGGGGGAATAAACTGGAACTCGATGCCCTTTTCCAGGCACTCATTAGCCCATTCGTTGGACTTCAGCTGCTGGACGAGTTGCTGTCGCATCTCCTTTATCTCGCGGAACGCGCCGACGAACGAGGTGCTGTTGTCGCAGTGTATAACGCGAACGCGACCGACGCGACTCACAAAGCGCCTCAACGAATTGACGCACGCAGCAGCTGGCATCCCGGCGACGATGTCCAGCACAACGGCTTTGACGGCGAAGCACACGTACACTGCGACCCAGACTTTGACCGAAGCGCCCCTTCCCGCAAGTTGACGAACGAGAAACGGCCCGCAGTAATCCAGCCCCGTGTGTTCGAAGACTTTAGATGGTGTAATGCGCGCAGCAGGTAATGGCGCCATATATTGATTGCTTGCTTTCGGACGACAACGGAAACACGTCACGCAACGATGGACTGTCCTTCGAGCGAGGTCTCTACCACGGATCGGCCAGAAACGCTGCTTGATGGTTGCGAGCAGTTGTGTTGGTCCAGCGTGCAGAGTTTGATGATGAATTGATCTGGCAATCAACTTTGAGAGATGATGATCGGCAGGTAACAGGATCGGAAAGCGACTGTCGAAGGTGCCAGGTGATTGCGCTAGGCGGCCGTTCAAACGAAGAAGCCCTGCGTCATCGATCCACACGTCAATGTCCTTGAGCGGAGACTTGAAGTCTGCTTTTCGCAGAGCCAGAGACTCTTGGACGTGGTTATGTAAATATCGCAATTCCTGATGGAAGGTTGCTCCTTGTGCAACTCGAATGAGAGATTTGAGGGCATTGTTGTACTCGACCGGTGTGATTCGCCCGAAAGTTCGAGCATGGCTCGGCAATTGGCAGTTCTTCGCGAAACGAAGGCAGTACGAAGCAACCTTAAGAAGATGAGACAGTTGCGAAAAGTCCTGGATGAGCGAATCGTCGAACGTGACACAAACGAGTGCGACCGTCGGCCGCTGCTCGACAATTTGTTGTTGGATGTCGGTCGAGGTTAATGGTACTATTGGATCTGGCCAGGCTTCTGGTCCTGAGAGTAGGTATGGTGGCCCATGCCACCAAAGTGCATCATCGCTGATGTCTTCGGGATGAACTCCGCGAGAAATTCGATCGGAAGGGTTTTGCAGCGTTGGAACGTGCCGCCATTGGGAGTGTTGCAACACCGCAGAGGTGAATCTGGCAACACTGCATAACGGTACTGCAGATTGAGTGCTGCCGTTAAATGTTGACAAATAGGAATGGAGATAAGTAAACAAGATGATAGTATGTAGTAGTAGTGGTAGTAGTAGTAATATAGATAATAGTGAGTGGTAAACATAATTCGCCATCGCAAATATAATCTCGATGTATTATTAGAATATAAACAATTCAGTTCCGCGGTTAAAGTTTATTATTCGAAAATCGTATATAAATAGTGCTAGATTGGTCGCAGGAGGTACAAAAAACGTTCCTTATTTACCGCTAAATCCTGTAAGTAAACGAAAAGGAATAAAATTTAGTTAAGTTAGTGTATGAATGTAAATATTTACCCTCGTTTACTTACCTGCAGCGACGGTCGATCGTGGTGGATACCTGTAAAGGATACATTCACCCAAAAAGTATCTACCATTCCTCGTTGGATTTAGATTGTAAGTAAAATAAAGTATGATACACATATTCTTAGTAACTAGAATGTTTTTGATAGCACCTGCAAATAGGTCGAGCATATAGCACAACAACGTTAGGGTAGTTGGACCGAAGTTCGGATCAAGCGCAAATCATACAGCAAATCGTAAGTTTCGTAGCGTTAGTGATGAGTGATCGTTAATTAAAATTAATTAATTTAATAGGATCAACAGAGAGAGTGTAGGAGGAAGAAAAGGAAGCTTTATACAGTGGGAAAGGAAACCACTTTATTGTAAGTAACATCTAATATTAATAAAAATTGTAAGCTAATGATAATAAATGTTTACAGTTTGAGCGTTGCTGAAAACTAGTCAGCTGCTGTTGAAAATTTGGTTTCCCTACGGGAACAATTTCTCAAAAATAAAGTGACACAAGCGGTGTCCAAGAGAGAAGTTCGGACCTTCCCAAAGAAATGGCTTCCGATTCCGAAACGGCGGACAAAACAGTCATGGACCTGACAGCGACTCCGTGTGGAATCTGCGGGCCATCAACATGCGACGAAGAAATGGTAGGTTGCGACGGTTGCGCAAGCTGGTTTCATTCTCGCTGTGTAGGTCTAACGGAGGGACTGAAGCCGAAGAAATGGTTCTGCCAAAACGAAGCCTGTCAGCTCCAGGCTCAGGAGTACCAAAGGCAGCTCAAAGAAGCCAAGAAGCAGGCTCGTCTTCGGAAGCCTACCGACGAGTCTGACAAGTCTAGCGTCAACTCTCGCAAAGGCTTTTCCATCGTGGAGCAAAAAGTGAAGGCGTTAGAGGAAAGGCAAAAGCGGCAGTATGAAGAGCTAGAGGCGGAGATGCAGCTGCGGAAGAAGGAAAAATATATGCAGCGTGCATTTGAAAGAAAAAGGTTGGAAATGGAGAGAGAGATGCGCGCTGAAGAAGAAGAAGAACAAAGAGCTTTGCAGGAAGAGATTCTGCAGAAGAAGAAGGCACAGATTGCGCGGATGAAAGCGAATCAGAAGTCATTCGAACAAGAGATGGCGGACCTGGATCAGGAGTTGGCAGAGCTATCAGTCGTCAAGGTTCCCAAGACGGTGCATAAAAAAGATGAAGACGGGATCAAAGCAGGACCCTCTGGCAAAGAGAGCAAGAAACCGCTGAAGCTAACTAAAGAAAATTTGAAGAAGCATGCCGGAGACAACGATGATACCGAAGACGACGACGAAGAGGACGATGATGAAGACGATAGCAAAGAGGATGATACACGGTCGGAAGATTCGAAGGTAGCTTCCAAACATACCGAACCATCCGTGAAAAGTATTCCGCAGAAAGTTAAGAAGGTGGAGGAAAGAAGCCAAAACGGGCTGGGGCATAAGCAGGTCGGACCGACAAAGGCACAGCTGGCCGCGAGAAAGGGGTTGACATTCAAACTTCCCAAGTTCTCTGGAAAACCAGCACAATGGCCATTGTTCTACGCGGCCTACAAAACTTCGAACGAAGCCTGTGGCTACATGGACCACGAGAACTTAATGCGACTGCAGGAATCCCTCGAAGGCGATGCTCTTGAGCTGGTGTCCGGTCAACTGCTTCTTCCCGAGTCGATTCCGAGGGTCATCGAGAAGCTGCGTCGGCACTATGGTCGTCCGGAACAACTGCTCCAGAATCTACTGGACAAAGTTAATCATTTGGAGCCTCCAAAGCCAGACAACCTGAGGAGTTTCGTTCCTTTCGGAAATACCGTAGAACAACTCTGCGGACATTTGGAGGCCGCAGAACTACGGCAACACCTCGTCAATCCACTGTTGATTAAATCTCTGGTTGCCAAGCTTCCGGACCGTGAAAAGCGTGAATGGGTTCATTACCGGAGAAACAAAGGAGAACAAACGCTGCGAACGCTGACGGATTTTCTCATGGAGATAGTCGAGGACGCCTGTGAGGCAAACGTCGACGTGGATTTCAAGCCGGCGTATCAGCTCAAAGGTGGACCATCGTCCGGAAAGAAGAAACCGAAGGAAAAGGGTGCGTTGTACTGCCATAGTGGAGAAAATAGTCCAGGTGCAAGTTCGAGCGACCGGAAGAGATTAAAGCCGTGTAATCTATGTCAAAGCATGGAACATCGTCTTCGGCACTGTGCGGACTTTAAGAAGCTGTCGTACACGAACCGACTTAAGCTAGCGACCCGCGATAAACTATGTCACGTGTGCCTCAACGAGCATGGTGGTTTATGTAGGTTCAGGATTTTCTGCAACATCGGCGATTGTAAGGAGCACCACAATCCGCTGATGCATCCTGTGCGGCACACTTTCGGAATGAGTGCACATATTCGTTCGAACTGTACTGCCATGTTCCGTATGGTACCGGTACAGCTTCACTGTGGTGGAAAATCGATCACGGTCCTGGCGTTCCTGGATGAAGGTGCCTCCGTCACGTTGTTGGAGAAGAAACTCGCTGACCGGCTGGGCGTCGTTGGCGTACAAGAGCGGCTGACGATCAAGTGGACGGCTGATATCACGCGCGAAGAGAAGGACTCCCGGCGAATGAATCTGTGGGCGTCTGGTGTTAGTCCCGATGCGGGTGAAAAGTTGCTGCTGCATAGTGTTCGTACGGTTGGAAAACTGATGCTGCCACGTCAGAGGTTGGATTACCAGGAGCTTGCCACACAATACCAACACATGCGAGGATTGTCAATCGAGTCATACGACGGACAGCCGGAACTGCTCATCGGACTAAATAACATCCATTCGTTTGCACCGATGGAGGCGAAGGTTGGTGCACCAGTGGAACCAATTGCGGTTCGATGCAAGTTTGGGTGGACGGTATACGGTCCAAGGCACTTCGCCACGGTTGCAGCAGGTAATTATTTCGGTTACCACCAAGCGATCACCAACGAGGACCTGCACGAACTGCTCAAAAGCCACTACGCTTTGGAGGAATCGGTGGTTATGGTACCACAAGAGTCAACAGAAGAGAAACGAGCACGGGAAATACTTGAGCGGACTACCAAACGTGTCGGCGACCGCTTCGAAACTGGGCTACTGTGGAAGACAGATGATCCAAAGTTCCCGGTCAGTTTTCCCATGGCCGTGAGAAGAATGAAGCAACTGGAGAAACGACTACAAAAGAATCCGGAGCTGCACGAAAACGTCTGCAAGCAGATTGACGAGTACCAGGAAAAAGGGTACGCGCATCTGGCTACCGAGGACGAGCTGGCTGGAACTCCCCCCGACGAGGTCTGGTATCTCCCACTAAGTGTCGTACAAAACCCGAAAAAGCCAGGTAAGATACGTCTAGTATGGGATGCTGCAGCGACAGTGCAAGGAGTTTCTCTGAATTCGCTGCTGTTGAAAGGGCCCGATATGCTAGTACCCCTGGTAAAAGTTCTTTTCGGTTTCCGCGAATGGCGAATCGCTTTCGGTGGAGACGTAAAGGAAATGTTTCACCAGATGAAGATTCGCACCGAGGATAAACAGAAGCAGAGGTTCGTCTTCAGGAAGACTCCGGACGTTTCACCGAGCATTTATGTCATGGACGTGGCAACGTTTGGGTCTACAAGCTCCCCTTGTTCGGCCCAATTCGTCAAAAACCGAAACGCTGAGGAACTCGCCGCTCAATATCCTGCAGCAGCCGCAGCCATCATAAACCGGCACTATGTCGACGATTATTTCGACAGCGTCGATACGGTGGAAGAAGCAGTCAAGCTGGCGCAAGAGGTGCGCTTGGTACATCGGAAAGCCGGTTTCGAGATCCGGAACTGGGTGTCCAACTCGCCAAAAGTTATTCGGAGTCTGGGAGAGACGAAACCAGCCGCACCGGTGCACTTCAACCGGGACTAGCAGACTTCCAAGGAGCGAGTTTTAGGGATAATCTGGGATCCGGACTCCGACGAATTTGTCTTTTCGACAACGCATCGCGAGGAATTGTTGGCGTACTTGTACGAGGGAAAACGGCCGACGAAAAGACTTGTCGCAAGCTGCGTAATGGGTTTCTTCGACCCGCTCGGATTATTGTCGCCATTCACCATTCACGGCAAAATTATCATCCAGCATATGTGGCGTTCCAACTGCGACTGGGATCAGGAAATCGATATCAAGTGCTGGGAGCTGTGGAAGCGGTGGACCAGTATGTTACCGGAGGTGGAAGCCATCCGAATTCCACGTTGCTACCTCGGAGGTGCTAAGTGCTCCGAAATCGATTCGCTGGAAGTTCACATCTTTACCGATGCCAGCGAACACGCGTACGGATGCGTGGCGTATTTGCGAGCGGTTGTCAACGGCAATGTTCATTGCAGCCTGATGATGTCTCGAGCAAAGGTGGCACCGATTAAACGTCAGTCAATTCCTCGTCTGGAATTAATGGGTGCGGTTCTGGGAGCCCGTATGAGTCAAACCGTTCTGGACACACATTCGTACAAATTCCTCCGTACTGTTTTCTGGACAGATTCTCGCACAGTGTGTAGCTGGCTGAATTCCGACCAACATCGCTACAAGCAATTCGTTGCATTTCGGGTCGGCGAAATCCAGGAGCTCACAAAGGTTACTGACTGGCGATGGGTGCCAACCAAACTGAACATAGCAGACGTATTGACGAAGTGGGGACAAGGTCCACCTCTTCAAAGCGATGGAATATGGTTTCAAGGACCAGATCTCCTGTACCAGCCGGAGGATCAGTGGCCATCGAAAAAATCAACGTTTGAAGAAACCGAGGAGGAGGCACGAGGTTCTGTGTTGTTCCAAGAGGTGATCAACGTTGAAGCGATTTCTCGTTGGACAAGACTCTTGCGAGTGACGGCTACCATGGTACGCTTCATCGTCAACTGCCGGCGTAAAAAACGAGGTGAGCCGATAGTGACAACATGGGCAACGACGAAGCAACGTCGGCTGATCGAAGCGACAGCGGTGAATTATGTGGCAGTGCAGGTACCACTTGGGCAGGAAGAACTTCAGCAGGCCGAAACCATCCTGTGGCGGCAGGTACAGTGGGACAGTTTCCCTGATGAAATGAGCATGCTCACGAACAATCTGCAGCGCCAGCCGGGTCAGCCGCTTGAGAAGATTAGGAAGAGCAGTTGCATCTATAAGAGTTCACCGGTACTGGACGACGAAGGCGTGCTGCGTATGGAGGGTAGACTGGCGAATTCTGGGGAAAGTTCATTCGACAAGAAGCATCCGATCATCTTGTCCCGGTCCCACGAAATTACGCAGAAACTGATCCAGCACTACCACGAAGCGTTCGGGCACGCGAATTCGGAGACGGTGTTCAACGAAATGAGACAGAGGTTCCATATTCCCAAGATGCGCCCAGCGATCCAAAATGTGATGAACAGGTGCGTATGGTGTAAGGTGAACAAATGCCGTCCAAGATCTCCAAGGATGGCTCCCCTACCAGTTGAAAGAGTCACTTCTCATCTACGGCCCTTCAGCTCCGTGGGCATAGATTACCTGGGTCCGGTGGAAGTAACGATCGGTAGACGAAAAGAGAAGCGTTGGGTGGCAGTATTCACCTGTTTGGCTGTGAGGGCGGTGCACCTCGAAGTCGTGCACAGTTTGACAACTGAATCCTGCCAAATGGCAATCACTCGTTTCCATAGTAAGTTTGGGAAGTCAAATAACATATTCTCCGACAACGCTACATGCTTCCAGGGAGCTAACAACGAGATGGTAAGGATGGAGAGCATCAACCAGAAATGTGCTGAAAGTATGGCCAGTCCCGCTACCGCTTGGCACTTTAACCCACCCGGAACGCCACACATGGGCGGCATCTGGGAGCGAATGGTACGATCGGTTAAGGAGGCGATGCGTGCACTGGACGACGGAAGGAAGCTGACGGACGAGATCCTAGTGACGACGCTGGCGGAAGCGGCCGATATGATCAACATGCGGCCGTTGACCTACTTGCCGCAGGATTCGGTCGAAACTGAAGCACTGACCCCGAATCATTTCCTACGGGGAACGGTGGCCAGTGCCGACAAGCAGGTGGATGGTGGACCTACGGATTTCGCCGAAGCACTCCGAAATATATACAAGCGCTCGCAATATCTTGCCGACAAGATGTGGGAAAGATGGATTAAGGAGTATCTGCCGACGATCAACCAACGGTCGAAATGGTTCGACGAGCAGAAGCCGCTAAACGAGGGCGACTTAGTGTTCGTGGTCGATGGAAAGAACCGGAAGTGGTGGAGACGAGGTATCGTGGAAGCGGTAACCAAGGGTTCGGATGGACGAATCCGACAGGTGAACGTGAGGACCGCTGATGGAAAAGTTCAAAGACGTGGGGTAGTGAATCTAGCGGTGTTGGAGATTCAGTAAATCCGGATTTCAAGCATTACCGGATGTTACGGGCTGGGGTGTTGCAACACCGCAGAGGTGAATCTGGCAACACTGCATAACGGTACTGCAGATTGAGTGCTGCCGTTAAATGTTGACAAATAGGAATGGAGATAAGTAAACAAGATGATAGTATGTAGTAGTAGTGGTAGTAGTAGTAATATAGATAATAGTGAGTGGTAAACATAATTCGCCATCGCAAATATAATCTCGATGTATTATTAGAATATAAACAATTCAGTTCCGCGGTTAAAGTTTATTATTCGAAAATCGTATATAAATAGTGCTAGATTGGTCGCAGGAGGTACAAAAAACGTTCCTTATTTACCGCTAAATCCTGTAAGTAAACGAAAAGGAATAAAATTTAGTTAAGTTAGTGTATGAATGTAAATATTTACCCTCGTTTACTTACCTGCAGCGACGGTCGATCGTGGTGGATACCTGTAAAGGATACATTCACCCAAAAAGTATCTACCATTCCTCGTTGGATTTAGATTGTAAGTAAAATAAAGTATGATACACATATTCTTAGTAACTAGAATGTTTTTGATAGCACCTGCAAATAGGTCGAGCATATAGCACAACAACGTTAGGGTAGTTGGACCGAAGTTCGGATCAAGCGCAAATCATACAGCAAATCGTAAGTTTCGTAGCGTTAGTGATGAGTGATCGTTAATTAAAATTAATTAATTTAATAGGATCAACAGAGAGAGTGTAGGAGGAAGAAAAGGAAGCTTTATACAGTGGGAAAGGAAACCACTTTATTGTAAGTAACATCTAATATTAATAAAAATTGTAAGCTAATGATAATAAATGTTTACAGTTTGAGCGTTGCTGAAAACTAGTCAGCTGCTGTTGAAAATTTGGTTTCCCTACGGGAACAGGGAGCCTTCTGTAGTTTTCAAGACAGAGTTCCAAGCGTGGCGTGGAATAGCCACTGATTGGAGCGACCCGGGATTTCGCTATTAGGAGATTGCTTGTTCGCGTGGCAGTCGGCCCTTGCGATACTACGTAGATACATGCTCCGTATCCTTTCGAAGAAGCGTCGACAAAGCAGTGCAGCTCGTACCTTACTGCATCATCTCTGAATACCCATCGTGGTATACGAAGATCTCTGATGACACCGACCGATTCTCGAAAGGACAGCCACCAAGATTGAAGAGTTTCCGGAAGTCCATCGTCCCAATTCAGTTGCTCCTGCCATAGCCGCTGAACGAACATCTTCGCACTGGCGACTACTGGACCGATGAGACCCAAAGGGTCGAAAAGCTGCGACATCTCCGACAGGACAATGCGTTTTGTAACTCGTTGTAGTTGTGGAAGATCAGGAACTTTGAACGCAAAATCGTCGTTTTCCGGGGACCATAAGAGACCAAGTGTTTTGATTGATGAGGTGCGATCAAGCTCTAGAGACGGTTGATTCTCCTTGAGGTCGTCTGGAAAGTGTTCCAGGATACTAGGATGGTTCGCGCTCCACTTGCGCAGATTGAAACCACCTCTCTTTAGGAGGCCGTCCAGTTGGGTGCTTGTGTCGACTAGTGTTTCGATGCTGTCGGCTCCGGTCAAGACATCGTCAACATAAAAGTCCTTCTTGACAATGGAGGCAGCCAGTGGAAAGTCATGCCCTTCATCGTCAGCTAACTGATTTAGGACCCGGGTTGCCAGATATGGAGCACAAGATGTGCCGTAGGTGACGGTGTTCAAACAGTAGGTTTTCAGTGGCTCTGACTCCTTTCTGCGCCAAGCAACTTGCTGTAGTAGTCGATCGTCCGGATGTACCAAAGCCTGACGATACATTTTCTCCACGTCTGCTTTCATGACAAATCGGTGGAAACGAGAGTTGATGACGATGCACAACATTGAAGGCTGAACTGTTGGTCCTGTTAACAGAAGGTCGTTCAAGGAGAGCTGATTGCTGCTTTTGGCCGAGCCATCGAACACGACTCTTATCTTGGTTGTAGACGAATCGGGACGATGAATTGCGTGATGGGGCAAGAAAAACTGGGGCAACGCGACGCGCGTCTTCACCTCCTCCATATGGCCGAGTTGTTGGTACTCGTCCATGAACTGCACGTAGCTTGTACGAAGAGCATCATCGGTCCGAAAGCGTTTCTCCACAGCGGTGAATCGTCGAGCGGCCATTGGCCATGTCTCCCCGATGAGAGGTAACATCTCTTGGCGAACTGGTAGACGGACCACATAGTGTCCCTCAGCATTGCGGGTGTGAGTTTTGGCAAAGTGAGCTTCACATCGTTGTTCTTCGGCCGTGAAAGTCTTACCGTGGTCGAAGTCTTCAACTTCCCAGAATCTCTTCACTTGGGCGTCTAGGCTGTCAAGAGTAGACACTAGACACGTAATTTGAGCGGGTGTGCTCGTAGGAACTTTGCCAGAAAAGATGTATCCAAGGCTGGTTTTCTGTAGAACCGGGAGGTGGTCATTGAACGAAATTTGCTCTGCTTGCAGTAGGATTGAGAACAACTCGGCACCAACGATGAGGTCAATGCCGTGACTCACGTTGAATTGAGGATCTGCCAACGGTAGATGCTTAGGGATCTTCCAGGTGCTAATATCAACCGTCTTTGTTGGTAGACAAACGGTTAACTTGGGTAGCACCAAGCATTCTAAATTATGATCATGTGATCCGAAACGAGAGGAGAATTGTACTGTCACTATATAGCGAACGTTTACTAGAGCTTGTCCGATGCCACTCACCGGCACGTTCACTTTTCTGCGATTTAACGCAAGCCGTTGGCATAACGCTTCGGACACGAAACTTGATTGTGACCCGCTGTCCAAGAGTGCACGAGCGAGTTGGTATTGTCCACGGTTGTCCCGGATCTTGACAAGTGCTGTGAACAACATCACTGTGGAATCACTTACAACATTAGATGAGGTTGTTGGACAGGCATTGGAGGGAGGTGAGACTGTACCGGACGGTGCGAGAAAGGACGCGGAAACCGGCGGCGGCAACAACGAGACCGAACGATCGACCGAAGCGACTGCGGTGTCGCATAATTGCGGCACGATAGGAGAATGCGACATATGTTGAGTGTTGACAGAGTGCATTTGCTGCTGGAGCATTTGGGTGTTGGTAGGTTGGGTGTGTGGTGGAGCTTCTGTTGCAATTAATGTGGAACTAGGTGAGAGGTGAAGCAGTGTGTGATGCTTTCTCTGGCAATATTTGCAGGCTCCGCCACTGCAATTCTTCGCTTGATGCGTGGCTTTCAAGCAATTGAGGCAAAGATTGCTCCGTTTGACCAGGTCGAAGCGTTGCTGGGCAGTCTGGGCCCGGAAAGACTCACACTGGAATAAAAAGTGTGATTGTTTACAAGCTACGCATCTCAGAACCTGCTCAGATACTGAGTGGTTGGTTACCGAGCGAGATTTTGAAGGCTTGGCCTCCACGAAGGAAATAGCGTTTTGGGAGAGCTTAAGTGACTGCAGAGTACGAGAATGCTCGTGTGTAAACTGCATTAATTCTTCGTACGAAGGGCGTATTGTTTTGTCCCGCTGGTTTTCCCATAGTTTCTGTGAGTCAGTGTCCATCCGGCTAAATAAGAGTTCCACCAATACAGAATCCCAATGTTGCGCCTTCGTCTCCAGGGAATCCAAAATTTGCACATGCTTCTCAAATTCATCAGCAAGATCTAACAACTCACTTGCTGACTCCTTCCGTAAAGGTGTAATCGAGAACAGGGCAGAAATATGCTGCTTGATGAGCAGATTTTTGTCTTCGAAGCGATCACATACCATTTTCCAAGCGATGACGTAGCTGGTCGCAGCCATTGGAAGAGAGCAAATAATGCGCGCCGCATCTCCTTTGAGAGAAGAACGGAGATAATGCAATTTCTGGATGCTGGAGAGTGACGCGTTGTCATTGATCATTGTCTTAAACAAATCGTGAAATCCTGACCAATGTTCCGGACTCCCATCAAATTCGGGAAGTCTTAATTCCGGAAGACGCACACCAGAAGAAACTGCCGGAATTTCATGTACGGGAGCAGGAGGATTAGCTGGTGGAGGAGTAGGTCGTTTGCTTGACAAAGAACCCTTTAAACGGAAATACATCGTCTGATGTTCTGCACGAGTATCCGAAAAGACCGGATCGCCAGAACGATGTGTGTCTAGCTCAGTCTCCACATATTCAAGCTCCTCCATACACACTAATCGAGTCAGTACGGTTTTACCGAGTTTTTGAATTGCGGAACTGTTCGGTAAAAGTTTAAAAATTTGTGGAAAATTTATTAATGAGAAAATTTGTTCTGAACCTATACATACTTAGTTCTGCTAATCCCATTTAATGATAGAAAATAAAATTGGTCGATTACATTGATTCCGTACGGATAACGGTCATTTGAATTTTTACCGACTTTTTCAGCAATTCAAAAACCCAGTAAAAAAATACTGACTCCTGTAAAAAAATCTTAGTGTGTAAGCTTGTCCAGCCGCTCGAGACGAAAGGGAATTTCAAGCGATTTTGTTTCGTCATAATTATCGTCGAAATCAAGGATCAAATCAAGTGATCCCAAAATATAGGCACGCTTGGCGTGCAGTTGTTTGATTTGCTTGGCTTTTTTGTTCCGAGTCGCGGTAGCCATTTTACTCAAAAAAAGTAAAGAAAGAAAATGTGCACCCACCTGCTCACGGCGTACTTAACCTCCAAGTTGGTTTTTGGTTTAACAAAGCCTTCCGTTATCCAAGCGCTGATGCGGTCTGCAGGAACGACAAGTCTTCCGTTATCCTCAGCGGCACCAAGGAAGCAGCTCACAGTAGTCGATAACAGGACAAACCACTGCGCGTGCTGTAATTGTGAGAAGCTCGAAAAAGAAGCACTTCTTCAAAATGGTGGTGTTGAACACTTTTCACGTCCGGCTGATTATTTTGTCACAAGAACTGGGATTGTCCCAATCGCGAATTTCAGTCAGCGATGACGAAATTGAAACCGACCGACGGTACGAAAATGTTCACTCTCAGACAACGTACGCAGTTGCCACCGACGACCGCGAGCAGAAATTATTATCCCGATTCTCGATGCACGAGGTCTCACGGCGAACAAAGAACTTGATATGCACTAGCGGAACAAAAGATCTTCTTGCTCACGCAGTTTAGATGCTGCACAATCAACGACCCCGAAACCTTCTAACTTTCCGACACAAATCCCGGGTTTCGGCACCAAATAATGTGGTGGATCTTGCCGAGTTTGGTGGCCAACGACTATACCGGCGAACGGAACAGAAGACAAATCGGTGGTCTGGGTGTAATAGACACTTTTCGGGCAGTCGATGAAAAAATGCGTGTGGTTTGCTTGATGTACTTTTCAATTCTGATTTTCATTTATTCTCTCTCCGTATATGTCGTGTTAGGTAAGTATTCGTGTGCGTGTTTCGTATTTCATTTCAGCGTTCGTGTACCAAGGTAAGGCAAATACAAAGGTAAGGTAAGTATAACAGTTTTGTTGTAATAGAGTACAGTGGGCTCAACGGATTTACAAGCTAATTCAAATGTTCAACTGTGTTTAATTTCAAATGCAAAGAATTCTAATTACATGATCAAGTGAGTATCAAGATCCGCAACAGAATCCGAGCCGCACAGAAGGTTGTAAGGGGATCGGTGTCCATACAACTGGCCGTAGCAGTTTTATCAGTGTTATGTTTGATTCCGTAACCCTTCACCACTTCGTTGATCAGCCAACCGACATTCAGTTCCATGATTCGTTCCTCATCGTAATACTCAGACCATATTCGGAGGTAGAATCTACACCGGTCTTTACTTTCCTACCATCGACAGCGCCCCAACTTTTACAACTCAAGACCTACAATTGAAATGGCCTCAACTCCATTTTGTAAACAAACATTGTAA